CGATAAACCACATGAAGGCTTTAGTTATAGAATGTGAAATTTATTGAAAAATTTATATCACGAGGTTTATATTTAACTCATTCCACGAATAAAAAAGATGCCTGCAACGTTAAATTTACCCGATCTCTTAGTTCCAAAAGTTACAATTTGATGGAGAAAAAAATATTTTCGTTGAAAGCAATTTCTACTTTTAGATCACATTCCAAGCCATAAGAAGAATATCTTCAGTAAAACAAATTGACATCTGAAGAACTTTACTAATACTATCTATTGAACATTTTCAGTTTGAATTTGAATTGTATACAATCTCTTCACACTAAATTTCAAGCGATTTGATGACTAGCAAGATTCTGTAAACTATCATGCAATCACTAGGTCCATGTGCATAGAGATTTTCTTGTTTTTTGTTGTTGTTGTTCTTGTTTTTTCAATTGATACTTTGCAAAAGTCGCCTACATTTAGTAATTATTACAGTAGTAGGAGCATTTCAGTTTTCTCGAAATAGTTCAGAATACATTTTTATAGTAAAAGCCCGTATAAAAGACGTTTATTGCATTATATAACACTAGACCTAAATATATCAGGTTACTGACAAGTAACATTTCGAAGGCAGCCATGTAAACGACTAACACTCAATAAAGGATTACCTTGCAAGAGATACTATTTTCAAGAACTAATAACTTAAATCATGGTTATCAATGTTATTTCTGAAAACAATGGGCTGTAACATTGATTTTGTTCAAGTTTCACTTCCTGGAAACGTTTCTCATCAGTATTCAGACTTAAGAGGAGGTGACCTTCGACAATGGTGAAAAGCAGTAAGTTTTATGACTGTTGGGAAATTTATGCTGTTTACAATCACCAAAAAACAAACATCAGAATAGGTGCTATTGTCACCAAAACATTCATTTTCACACAGTTAAATCAAGTATTTGCAAATTACGCGTTCCTTTAGCGCGAAATCACATCATGTTTTCCTTCTGAAATCGCAATGTTCAGGTCACATATTGTGATCTACTCAACATAATTAGGATCAGGAGTATGCGTATGAAAAGTGTACGAAGTACACTACTGACTAAAATGAATAAGTGTACACAGACCACTGACACTGATCATCAGGGATTGTGCATTTTTTGGTTTTCGACATGATCAGTTTGGTGAACTGGCTGTTTGGAGTTCAGGTGGTTTTAATATTTTCATTGCCTGAGTTGAGTCTCCTTGACAACAGCGATGATAAGCTCAGTTCGAAAAGAGCAAAACAGCCGTCTGATGGTTAGATCACTTTCATCTGGTTGGAAGGAACTTGTAATCGGTATCAGAAGTACGCTACTACTCATATCAGATAACACTATATTCATTTTTACAAGCTGGAACAGCTAGGTTTCCTTTAAAGGGTGTAAATTAACCAAAGAACTCATACGAAATACGTCATTATACTAACAGTTATATACTAATATTATCTACGCACATTAGATACAATAATCTGTCCTACAAATTACCAGATATGTTGTATCACAATAAGAGATTCATATCAACTGGCTTGATGATTTAGATTAAGTGAACTAGGACTTAAGTCGTATGGGTTTTCTTCTCTTTTTTCGTTTTGTATTCAACATCCTTATTCCGTTTTAATATCTTATGATTTCAGTTCTTTTATAGTAATAATCAGAGCCTCTGCAGATTGTATCTTTTTCAGAATCTCAATCATTTTTTACTAGTTTCTGATACCGTCCTTTTTATTAGCTTTGTCTTCTCTTATGATGAGATATTGTATTCAGAGCTTGTCATCAATTAAATCATATTGGGTAAAAGTTTCTTCCTAATTAATCTGAAACCGACACTGGATATCTAAGTGTTATATCTTTTGATTTCAGACCCTACCACTTCCGTAACCTGTCATACCGACTTTTTCAGTTTAAATTAATATATTCTGAGGAATAAAGGTAAAAAGAAAGTATTGACATATTCATTGCCTGTTAAGAAGTGTACAGAAGGTGTATGGTATATACAACTTAACATGGTATACATATGGAGCTATTTAAAAAATCATAAGATGTTGAATGCCCAAAGGTTATTGGAATTCCCATATTTACATCATTCGAGTAATTCCAGTCGCTGTAGTATAAAAATCGTTTGTGGTTGCCAAGTTTTCATGCTTCCTCATGTTCTGTATGCGCAAAGAAATGTCCCGCACATGCATTTCTGCCTTTTTCTGGAGTTCCTAGCTTTAATAAAGCAAACAAGCATTGTTCCATAACATATGCCTTTAGAACTTTTGTACCATCACAAAATAATATACTTGAATCGCTGTTTATTATATAGTTCTTACACAGAAGACTATTCTGTCAATATCCATCAGTATCTGCACAGTATTCAGGATAGAGGGATACTCAAACACTTAAAGTAGTAAACTTTACTCAACCTGATAACAAGAAAACCCACGTATGCTGCAGACATTCTTCATTTCAGTCACAGCTGTAAAATGATGAGTACATACAGCTGCTTTTATTGTGTCATAGCGTGCTATTTTATTTTGCAGGTAGTTTTAGGAGAAATAAAACTGGTAACCTAACTGCACTTGGTGTATGTATTTTTTTAATAATGAGATTTCAAGAATCACCAACTACTCTACCTGTTATTTCATCTATTTATCACTAGCAAAGATCTTTTCCTTCTTTTCTTTTTATAGAAATTACCAGAAGTGGAATTAAGAACGTACATCTTATTGAATTAGGAACCAGTAGTTAGATGTCCGAGGCGTTCTAGGGTGACATGGAGGAGATCGTGTGATGAAGAAATGAAAGCTTCTCGGCATTCATGGAGTCAGGTTGAAAAGAAGGAAAGAACAGAGTGAAATGGTGACGTGCTACTGAAGCCCTATGTCCCGCCAGGAACCAAAAGGACAAATAATAAAAAATGATAATAAGTTAGATATCCTCATATACATTGATTTTTCCACTGAAATTCAAACTTCCGAAGGTCATCTACAGGGTTACTAAATTATAAATACCGCTCCTTTGTTTGACAGGTGCTAGATTTAAGTAAATTTGGAGTTTCCCGTATGCGAGAACTACTGTAATTGGGCCAGTCCTGCTAATTCACTGACGGACAAGCCTAAATTTCCCAAATTTGTGCATTTATCTACCGAATAACAGAGATGCATAAAATTTTACTTAATTCCTGCGACATTTATAGTTACAGAAAAATAAAATGTTAAAACCCGGTCATAGAATCCTAAATCTGTGCATGGATTTCCTTGTGGTAAGACTTATAGATACTTTCAATAGGATATTCTTCATTAACTGATGTCAGTTGGAGTATCACTGAAAACCTGGGAAGAACGGACAGCCGTTTCATCTTAATATGAGACTCCAATTGTGATCGCCCATCTCCCTACCAAGGATCACAACCAGGAAGGATCTACGGGTCTCACGGTGAGTATGCTATCACTGAGCCATTAGGTTGGGACCCAGTGGTCTAAGTTTTCCTGCTTCTCTCAGTCCTTGATATGGTGCACTAGTTATCAAATGCCATAGTTGACTGTTTGACTGCTTGCAGGTCACAACTCACTAATAGAAATTCAGGAAATTTCATCTTGAAAGAACTCACTAATGTGCGCTAGACAGTATTTTAGTTTGAACGTTTCTGGGGGTTGATGGACTTCAAGTCAGTATTCATCAAGGACTGAATCCCAGGTTTTTAATTGATTCTTCAAGTGATATCACTTCGTGATGAATCAATAAGTCTGCACAAATGATTCACAAATGCATACTTGTCAAAAATGATGAATTTTACAGATGTTGAAAAAAAAATGAATGTGTGTACTAATATAAAGACAATGATGCTGAATCACTCGTATTCTGAAATTTGGATATCTATAATATACAAGAAGGATAGATGATGTGCTTTTCTATGAAATTCGGTTGCTCGTTTAACTGTAGTAAAAACTCAATGCATATTGGTTATTTTTGTGAAAATAATTATTCTTAAAATGATTCACTCTGAGGATTAAATAAAACACAGAGTCAATTAAAATCAAAGAACATCAATTTAATATACTATTCTTGTTATCGTCTTCTTATTAATGTGTACAAAGTCATATGAAATGGAGTGCAAATGTCTTGACTACAAGGTGAGCCGCTTTATTTTAAGCCATTATTTTCCAGTACACTTGAGCGAATTAATCACTTTCAGTCAATCAAGGAAATAAAACCCCTTTCATTCATGTCATCATTGACAGCCACTTTATTCACTTCCAATTTAAATAATTCCAAGGGATACTTAGTATAAGTGTTTTTAAACGGTTTTACAATCCTCATCCATCATGATGAAAGAGTCTTCAAATTTTTCAGTTACCAGAAAATAACCTTGAGGAATGTCAGTGGCTGTTGACTGTGATAAAATAAACTTTTATCTCTAACTATAACCACTTATTTATGAGTTTATACATGGAGAGTCAAATCACTCTTCAATTATCTACACAGAAAGTAATTAGAGCAGCTTAGTTGATAAAGTATTTGCCCGGTAAGTTTCAGGCTGCTAATTTTAATCTCACCGCAGTATACGGTTTCCTTTTACCTTGAATCATTACACCATATCATCAGCAGAGTAATTTTGGCCAGTATTGAAAACTTTCAGCAAAAAAGGCAAATTATCTCCTTGACATTTAGTTCCTTGACGATACTTCCTAATAAAATGGGAGCAAAATTATTATCTAACTATTTGAGGTCCTTAATCGGTTACTAGCACATCACTGAATTGAATAAATAGGTAATGTCATTTCGCATCTAACACTTACCAGCTAAATCCGAACATATGGTTTAAATAAAAGCCAGAAAATGCCAAAATTTCAACGAAGATTGGGTAGTAATCAAAAGTCAACAAATACTTTAAAGCTAGTACGTATACCGATTTCGGTAGTGTTGGTTTTTGGTGTCAGACTATGCAGTAATAATATGAGTAACGTATAAAATGAACTATAATCTTAGTGATAGACTTACTTGGCACACACTTGCAAAATGATGCCATGCAGTTGATGGTGAAGTAAGGCAACCAGCACACAGTAAATGAACCCAATATCACACCAAGTGTAATAGCTGCTTTATGTGCTTTATGCATTTGTTTATCTGAAGAATTGAACTGCATCTGTTGACGAGATAATCCGTCACCATTAGGATAAGGATTGGACGATTTACCTAAAGGGAGACATAAGCCAGGCAAGCTATACTTTCGTCGAGTTGAATGTTCCGAAGATGAAAAAGAACCGGTTGAGGTTTTGCAGTGTACAGTGATAGCTTTTTTGTTACAGATAAACACCCGTGTCTAGATGTTATCTGTACTGAACGCAGAGAAGCACCCAGATGTGATCTAGACAGACGAGGTCGGGGTTTTAATACATCTGTCGAAACCGTAAGAGAACTTCTAAGACTGTTAGTTAAATCGTAGTTTGGATCCAAGTAGACAGTACGCGCACTTGACAATGACTTTCTTTTTGACATAGTGTTTGGTGATACTTGAGATGTATAAAATAATTGTTTACCATTTATAGTTTCACTGAATGATAGATCATGAGGACATTTGGTAGAATTTGGGTAAAAATTCAGTCGACTAATATGCTGTTTTGTCAGTAAAAATAAACGTGTATAAATGGTCACCATCAAGATAAGTGGGATAAAAAAACTGAATATAGCGTTTGTCAGAGCATAGAAAAAATCAATTTGATGAATACATGGAAAGTTATTTATCTGTATGTAATTTGTTGGTGTTATAAATTCTGCTTTTGATGGAGTTGACATTTCTGATGACGAAGACAACCTAGATGAATGAGTAGAAGAATATGTGCAATTTTTATTTTCAATATACTGTGATGTACTACTTTCCGGAATTTGAGTAGTAGTTGTAGGACCTACAACACTGGAAGTAGAAGATATACACTCTCTGTAGTCTGATGTATGCCAATTAAGTTGAATCGGTAAAATAGCTATGAGTATTGATAAAAACCATAGACCAGATAATATTAAAAACAAAAATCTGAACTTTAATCTACGTGAATACTTTAAAGGTGCTTTTATATGCGAAAAACGGTCAAATGCCATTACAACCAAATGTAGTATTGTTGCAGTACAAAATAGTTTATCTAGTGATAAAAAGACTTTTACTAAACTATCTGAAAAATTCTCTGGTTTCATTAGATTGTACATGATACTGAAAGTCATCACAGTACTAGAGAACAAGATATTTGTCAAAGACAATGAGATAAAGAAAACATTTGATCTATGCCTTAGATGACGATCTATCAATGCAACAAGACATATAAGTGAATTACCTAATATAGTACATAGGACAATAATAATTGGCATAATTGTAGTCCATGTAAACTGAAAATGGTTGAATATTTCATTTGAATGGTGCTCTACTGAACCAGTTATGAAGTATGCACCATTTACTGAGTATGAAGATGGTAGATCGTGAAGTGTTTTCAAAGATGACCAACATGTTTGACTAGAAAATGTTATAACTGCCGTTTGAGAATGTTCAGTAGTACTCATTTAATTAGGATACATTCAGTTTGTTTCAGTGTATTCCCTTCTTTTAAAAATACAGTAAGGTGATATTTTTATTCACTATTAATTGGTTAGTTTAGTTCAGTTCACTTAATCATTTTATCCCTGTTAAATTATTTATTTCCCTTTAATATATATAGACTTTCGGGTCAGTCTTCTTCATTGTAATTTAATTGGCCAATGAAATAAGTAACCAATAGTGTACGAGATTGACAGAAGTAGAGATCACATCATATCTGCACCGTAACCGAATGATTGCATATGTTGAAACAGGTGATGTAAAGCTGTGAATTGCTTTTACAGATGAATTAAATTAGTTTCTCCTATATTACCTAGATTTTATAAATATCACAAATGATGGGATGTTATTTAGGCTGCAAAGGGCTTTGTAGCAGTGAAATCAATACCTGGTTATGAGTGTCTCTGCTTTAATAACACTGACGTCACTATAAAAAGAGCTAAATATCAAACTATGAATTGGATTTCGGCTGACTTTATACACTGTGATCGAATTTGCTTCAAAGTTAACCTTAAGGTTACACTATTTAGATACTGACATTTTTAGATAGCACACTTTTTATTTTATTTACAGTGAAAAATGACGAGGTTCTCATATTTATTTTCACTCTGTAGTGAATAAAACTTGTGAAGAAATTAAAAAGTAACTTCAGTCTGATTTTATAATGATTGCATTGTGCTTCTGTGCAGCATTATCACAAACACTGTAGAGTAATCTGAGCGCCTTGGTAACGTGTTACAACTTGCTCTGTTATCTTGATGTCCATTAAAATCATTTACATATTACGACCAAGCCAATCGAATGGAGTAAGTTGAAGACATCTGAGCTTGACTGAAGCACTAGTAATTCAAAAGTTTCAACCCTCAATATACATTTAAAAGAAGTATCTACAACCCCCTTCTTTGTCATGTGTATCGTAGAAGATTGATCACTCTAGTTAATTTGACTACAATGTAACTATATTTTATATCGTAATCGTTTTGTTCGTTTCTTCATTTTGAACGCATATAGAAACTACGTAACTTTCTTTTGTCATGAGGCTTATTTAGACCTTTGACCGGATATTGTTCTGGAATGGTTTATCTTTTCCCTTATTGATTCACAAACTTGAAGCTTAGCGATTGATTTTATGGGAAAGAAGATCTGAATATGGACAATAAATTTATATCCAAAACGTTATCCAGTGACATTTCTTATAAACAGATTATAATGGCAAAATTTTCCTCACTGCCACCATCTCTCTTTTCATGAAAATACTGGTTTTCCAGGCATAATAAACAAGCTTGTTCGCTTATTCCATAGGTTGGTAAGGCTGTGTTCAGTCAATCAAAATGACTTCAGTGTAAATTTTTCCTTAAAATACCTACTCCAGTTGGTCGAAATACATTTGACAAAAGTTTACATATTTCGCTTGTCTGTTCTGTTATAGAAAGAATCATTCATGATTCTCAGCAATAGACTTTTTTACTGTTTGATTGCACAGGAAGGACTGGTTGAAGACTTATGGTATCCAGTGGAGGTATCTATTATAGGGACTATCACCTATTCCTTATCATTCACTAAAAAAATATATGACAATGATGTATCGTAACATTTGTCTGATTGGTGATGCTTGTTTATTCGATTGCAATGACATTCGTAAGGAACAGTTAATACTGTTAACAGTACACAGAATATTTAGAATATACGTTGTAGTTACGGATAGAATAAATCTACTTTTACTTTTAAAGCAGGTTGTCTTTTATAAGAGTATATTACATCTTTACACTGATATTAAGCTATTGATTCAAGCATATTTTGCAAAAAAACATCTTAGTTTAAAAGCTCTAAAGAGAATTAGTTCCAGATAAGGAGGTCATCAGTTTGCGATAATCAACCGCATTCATTTTCAGTAAAAATCAGAGATCAAGAGTATTGAGTAGAAACTACTAACCCTAATGTTCGTAAATATGTGGCAAACAACTTACCATTTCATCCAATTATAGAAACCTCTATGCTTTTTAATGCCAGGAGATGATCGTAGGTGAGGTGCAATCTGAGTGGCTGCAGGATGTTTTAACTTAGTTGGGAAACTGTTGCGTGGTTATCTGAAACCACTGGTTCATATGCCCCCGCAACACAGGTTATCTTTTTAGATTCAGTCCTCATTTAGTTTCAGTGATAACAATCTGACAAAATACGGTTGCCTTGCATAGTTTCTTCAGTAATTCAACTTTTCTTGGAACAGTTCTATCTGTTGTTGAATTGAAAACTTCGTCAACTGAGGAGGTATTCCTCCGTGCGATTAAATCTTTCGCTGTATACATTTGTCACAGATACACTGAGTATAAACTGAAAAAACTTTTTTTTATTTATATGGCGTTAATGCCATCACCTGCCTACGTCGCTATTGATGTTTAATTTTTAGTACCTGAATTCAGGAATTAAACGCGTTACAAACTCTAAACAATCAGCAGAATGATGTGCGTTTATTTAGGCTAACATTACACTTAAAATTCATTTGATATTTCTTTACACAAACAGAATACTGTGTCAGATTTATAACAGGTTGCGATGAATAATGTCTGACAGAAGGCTCGTTAGTGGATGTAATTGGTTTTAAGATGTTAATTTATAATAAGAAAATGGAAAATGTTCGTACCGATGCATAAGTCAAAGGTGAAGAAATTGTATTGGCAGTAAATAACGTTTAATCTTTGAATACTTCAATTTCATGAATTAATTCACACAGAAATAGGAACTGACACAAATACTACCATTCACATTAACTACTTTCAAAGGTTAGTTTCATTTGTACTTATTTGATCTGTACCCGAAACCATAGTCACACACAGACATGATTGACTTAACTGTCTACTACTGAAATACATTTGAGTAGTTTTATGCAAATTGAAATATTTAGTACTACACTTCGAAGGAAATATATATCATTAAAAGCAGATATAGGTGAACTTAAAAACAGCGGAATAATTTAGATATTTCATTCGAAAGCATTTTCGATAGCCCTAATGTTCTTTGGACTAAAATATTCATTTCGCATGTACGCTCTGAGTTCAATTGTTTGTTTTTAAAACTTGCAAAGTAGCTCATGAACATTTTATATACGATTCGTTTGCAGTCTGATATTAGATTAACTTTGGTTACTAGGATTCATGACCTTTACTTCAAATATGTCTTTTATTTTAAATTTTCATGACGAATTATTTAGTTCTAACTAAGTTGGTACTACTCATCACTGTTAGATCTCTGCTTACCACCTAATTTTCAAGCTTTTACTTTGCATTTTATACATTTACAGCCACAATCCAAATCCGTGATCCTGCTGCCTAATTTTAAATCTGAAACTGGAGTTAATATTGGTGTCAAACTTGGGCACTGTGGTAGAATTTAATTCCATATTTGATTTGTAACACAGTATTATTTACTTGACGTTTCGAGCATAAATTATTATTGCTTATAATCATATCAATGTAATCATACAGCAATTTCGACGTTTGATTTTTATAGTTACGTCACTTTATTTGTTTTTATTGGTAGTAAAATCTCCCATATCTCTGGCATAGGTGTTGCGTCATCTCTATTACATATGTCGAATCAACATGCAACGCATGTAGTGGGGATGACGCAACACCTATGCCAGAGATATGGAAAATTTTACTACCAATAAAAACAAATAAAGTGACGTAAGTATCAAAACCAATTGTCAAAATTACTGTATGATTACATTAACATGATTATGAGCAATAATTTATGCTCGAAGCGTCATCAAGAAAATAATACTAGTCATCGTCTGTGCCACCTCTAGTAGTTGAAACGATGCTGTCTAAGTAGAGAGGTAGGTGAAAGAGAAAAATTGGTTCAGATTTCCCCCGTTGATGGCGATTTGTGCTTGTTGGTTGTATATCTTCATCAACTCTATCTTCTCTACGTTAACCTGAAGGAAGTCTCGTCTTCACTGCCTCTTCTCTTAACTTTCTAGTTTTCGCCTGTAAATCTTCGAGTTTGTGCGACAAGATATTAGACATGAATCATCATCGTTGGTGAAATGCAAATCTGCTTCTGGGGTCTTTTCATCGATCCAGTCAGCGTATGCCCACCTTCTCGCTCCTCACATTTGTTTGTTGCATGACCCAGTCCAGTCCAACCACTTAGACCATAACCAGGAAGATAATCGGTGATAGTAGACCGCAAACTTGTATTTACTCCTGTCTTCACTTCGTTTCAACGGCATCACTGAGCTATCCATTGTGAATCACTCAACATGTAACAACATATGCTAGATAGTTGTTGAATGAAGTTAATGGAAGTTTGTGACACTTAAACCGTAGTTTTGAGGCAGCAGCTGCCAAACTGCTTCTTGGTCGACACTGTCGAAGGCCAGCCATTTCGAAGTGGATGAAGTTGAGATAAAGATGCGGTTAACTGGCATTCTATGCTCTGTTCTATGATGATTTGTGGCGTAGCGTTGCAATTTGATCTGTACATGATTTGTTCTTTCTGAAATCAACCAGCCAGTTAGTCAGTCAGTCAGCCTGTTCGTGTTACAATTTTGAATCCAGAGCATATTTTGGTTCCCCCAGCATGATGCGGCTTAATATTTTGCTTGCTTTGACTGGACAGAAGTAGAGTGTGATTCCGTGCCTGTTCTTGAAAGAACTTAAGTCTCCCTTGCTTGTGATCTTGACAATGCAGCCCTTCTTCCAATCAATGGACAAGTACATTTCATTCTTTCCTTCCAAACCTTGTACAGTAGTGACGTGAGGAGGTCCGCTGTTGTCTCTGCGTCTGTTTTCAGTGTTTCTGGCTGATTTACATCTCGTCCTGCTGCTCCTCGAATTTCAACAGTTTTATGACATTCAGGACTTCTGCTTCTATCGGAGGACATGTGTTCACTGGTAGTTCTCTGGCTGAGCAGTTTGGGTATTTCTATACAAGTTGCAGGTGGTGGTGGTGGTGTTGGTGGTCGATTCAAGAGAATTTGAGGTGGTCAACCCATCATTCCCTTTGATTCCCCTCTTCGCCAACTACGCTTCCTTCACCATCTTTCACTGGTCTCTTCCACTCAGACAGTAACCTGGTGGTAGAAGT